ATCTGCCAGTTTACCTGTTTCTCTGATAAAACTAAAACCAAGGTATATTACAGAGTGTATCTAAGGAGAAAATTATCAGTTGGAAATTGATAAAACTTTTCAATAGCATTGTTATTCATAGAGCAGCTGTAAATTCTGCTGTGACAGAAATGTACTTGCAAGGCTTGCACATATGTGAGAACTTTAGCTCTACCCCTAAGTCACCATCAGATGTTTATCAGGTAAATTGACCCAGGTCTTCACAGGACACTGGTGAGTTTGGTAGTGAGTACTGGAAATAGTGCCAAAACTGAGAGCAGTCTGCTACTTTGTGTTTAGACCTAATTTCTTTAAATTATCTGAAAGAATTCTGGATTTGGACAGGTTAAGCCATTGACAAACACTGCTTTGCTGTTGTCACATAGCTTGTTCAGTATTCTTTGTGTCCACCCCTATCAGACCTAGGTGGCAGGGATTCAGGAGAGAAAGTAAGCTTCACACAAATTATTTGTCTTCTTTCACTGGTTCAGCTGAAGTGGCAGAAGTGTTGGTGGGTTTTCTAATGCGGATGAAAGCTCCAGCAGCTGGTTGTATCCTTCTCAGAAACCTTCCTGCCTTGGCCAAAAGCCATTAACATCGAAGCGTACACTTTCTCCCTCTTCATGCAGTCAGCAGGATTTGTCCCTAGAAGCCAAATAAAAATGGCTTTTTCCTTTCTCCATTAGCAGCAAAATTATTTGGAGTATTTGTTCATAACCGTTTTGTTAAAGTCACCTTGGATAAGGATGTATGAAGAACCTATTTGAACTTGCTGCTCTCCAAATACTACAATAAACATTGAGTGATTCTCAGCAAATGTCACATGTAAGAGTATCATAGGTCTATATTTTCTGCTAACATTCATATTTATAACCTTTGAATGTGTTTCAGAGGTATCTGTCTGTAAATCTTCCTGCTTGAAGGGATGTCTTACATGGACTGAGGATGTACAAGAAATTCTCTCATGCTTTAGTCATTCACCATGTCCAGTTAACTTGAGTCTGCTGGAAAGAGAGAGCTCCTGCAGAGATTTCAGGAGATGATCCCAGTTTCCCTCCCAGGAAAGGTGATAAGAGAATTTTAACTGTGCCTGTACAGAGCACAGAGCAGACCATTTCAGATCTCAGTGAATGGTAATCTAGATTTGTGATTCTTAGCTATTCTTTAATATTGAAAAAAACCCCTGTCGAGCACAGCTGAGCTGCTTACACTAGACAACAGTGATTCAGCACTTCGATTTGACAACAGACAGTTCATTATCTTCTAGTTTTAATATGTCAAAACAGTGTAGGAGTGTAAAGTAGCAAAAGCTGTTAAGGATTTGTACACCAAACTTGTGTTTAGAACAACTATTGTAATGTTCTAATGTAAAGGAGGAAATAATTTGACTTTCATTTCTTTCTGTTTATTAATGCAGCAGCAAGTGAATTTTGTTATAGAGTATTTGCACTGATCTTTTCTGCTAGCTAACTGTATTGGAAGTACCAGAGCACTAGAAGCATTCCTATTGCCTGATAGCAATACATGTTAGTTACTCCACACCAGCTACAGTACAGTGGGGTTCTGCCAGGGACTGTGTTGGTAGAACAGGGAGGGACAGTTATTTTCTTATGCTTTTTAGGAAAACTGGAGTTCTGTCTACTGAGACATCACCACCTCCCTGTTACCACTATGGCTAACAAAACCTTGTATTTCCCCAAGTGAGCCAAATGTATTGATTTCTAGAGAACAACCTTGGTTCTGATAAGACTTTCTTAGGCTACTGGCTTTTGATCTTGGAAGTGATGCGCTTGTTCCGGTAGATCTCTGCCGGAGCTTGGTGAACAGTTGCCTTGCTTTACCAAGCAGATGTGTGCCTTAGTTCTTGCTGCAGGAAGAAATAAACCGACTCTGGTTGCTAAGCTGCTGTTAACCTGCTGCAACCTACTAACTTGGATTACTGCTAACCTACTGCCACGGTGCATGTTAGCAGGTGATAGCAACTCAGGGCTTAACAGTGTGAGTGTGTGAGCTAACGTAGGGAAGGTAAACCCCTGCTTTACGTGCAGGGGTTACTGCAAGTGAGTTGACTTCTTGGTTGTAAGGTGTAGAGTTGATGTCATGGAAAATGTAGGGTTTTGGTTTTAACTTGAAGGAGCAACTCAATTATTTAACTGTGTTTCTTTTTGTAGTTGCTGGATGTTAGAAAATGTACCAGTTACTGAAATTTGAACAGGCAGTAATTGTTAAAGGCAGTCCCTGCTCCTCCATCTTCTGAATGAAGACTGAATTTTGTCTGCTCATGTTCTGAATTCTTTTAGTTTTAATTAATGGCAGAGGATCTTGAAAGAGGTGCATACAAATCAGTGGAAGTGGAAGTTTTCACATGGGATGGTTGTAGAAGCAGATACAGGTTTTTTCAAGATGACAGAAGTTGCAAAGGAAGATGTTCATGTGTCAAATACGGTTACTCCACATTTCCCAGTATAAGAGAAGAAAATTGAAGGGACAGGGCTAGAAATTAACCGCTGAAGTAATTCGACTTTATTAGTGTAAGAACTGTCAAGCTGAGGTTTCTTTAGTATGAAACTGTCACTGCTTACTACATGACTCCTATTTGTAAGAATGTCTGTCTCTACAACTTACTTTCCACCTAACAATGTCTGACAAGATATTGTAATAGTCCTCATATCCATTTGATAGACACTTGTGAAAAAAAAAAAAATCTGCAGGGAGAGAAAAAAGAAGAAACAATCTGAAAAGAGTATATGACAAAAAATAGTGTGCATAGTCGAATGATCTAAAATTCCTTGGGAGAAGCCCATAACAGGATGGCATAAAGAAAGAGAGGGTTCCTTTGCTTCTACAGCCAGAGGAACCTCTGCCCAGAATTTCTGTATTAATTAATCATCCACCCCCACATACCACTCCTTGTTTCTCCAACAGCAAAGGAGGAATGATTGCCTCAAACATACCAGAGGCTGCTCAGTTTGCTTCAGAACTGTGAGGTGCCTCTTCTTTTCCCAGCTCAGCTCTAGGTAGCTTGTATGGAAAGAATAACTGGAGGATGGAAAGGTGTGGTACAAATAGGACATTAGCCCATTCTACCTTCAGCTGTATGTGGAAATCCCTTATATTGCTGTGTAAGTGTTGTGACTATGTGAAAATCTGTGGATCCTCAGTGTTACATGATTGTGTAGGTAAATACCTGTCTGGATTCAGTAGTATATAACCAGTGGCTTGATGAATGGTGATTTGGGCAACCTGCAGATTGAAATTTCTATGTTAATTTTTATGTTAACAGCATAGACAGTAGCTTCCTCTCGCTCAGCAAAATGAAGTACAACTTTGAATTTATTGCATGCAGAAAATACTGCAAGTGAATATGGAAAACAGTAACATTATTTTCCTAGTCACCAAGAAAGCTACTAAATAGTGGTACTGCTAATGCTTTGCTCATTGTCATTATTCGGTTATCAGCCTTTCTTTCTCCTTTTTTCAATCTTTTTAGAGATTCTGATACGAAGACTTGGGGGGAAAAAATAAGAGAAGTCGATGTCTTCGGTTGAATTTCTTTTTCTGGATGGTCCTTATTTTCTCACGGTTACAGTTTAAATACTGGCTTCTGTTCCCTTCACACGCCTCATTTCCTAACAGTTGCTGCAATTGCCAACGGTGGCAACCTTTCCCACCAGCTCTGCTCCTGTGTCCCTTGATGTAGCTGAACTAATGATCAAAGGCTGCTATTCCTTCCCCAGATCCTTTCTTTCTCCTCCATGGAGAAAAATCAGGATAATTTTGAGGGAGGATCAAAATGGGAGAAATGCTACTGAAAGAGGGGGACCGAAGCCTGAGGCTGTGCTTGGAGCAGGAATACTCCATGGCCAGGTGCCAGCAGGCAAGGCCTTACCCTGGCCACCTCCCCAAGGAGGGCTCATGTTCCTCTGCTGTGGATGTGTCTGTCCCAGCTGCAGGAGGACAGGGAGTGAGGAGGTCCCGTTTAGTTGCTCCCCTGCTTGACTTTGCAGCAGCCTCTCAGAGCAGGGGTTGCTGGTGCTGGAGCAGGCACAGTGAAGTGCTTGTGGTAAGTTTTGGACTCCTGAACCTTGTAGAATAGTTGACGCCCTGTCTGGTGCCTCAGAAAAGGTGATGGGTAGGCTGGAAAGCCTGTGCTGTCTCCTCCTTGCATGGACTCTGGGGAGGCATGGAATCACAAGCTTGTTTTAGGTTACAACCAAAACACTTAGTCCCTTCAGGTTTGTGGGAACTGATTGCTGTGTATCCTAAATTAAAAAAAATCCAACCCAGACAACTCTTTCTTCAGTAGCAGCAGCAAAACAGTATTTTGTTTAATGTTCTATTAAGATGGAAAGAACATGGGCAGAAATATTGCCACTTTATGATGCTGTAATACCAGGTCTCTGTGAAATGGCAAGGGGCAGTTACCACGCTGCTCACTGCTCTCCCTGAGGAATGCATGGAAAGAGCAGCACAAAAGACTACAGCACCTTGCGTTAGTGATGATGGCAAAGAAGAGTTGTTGTGTAGAATCATAGAATCATTTAGGTTGGAAAGGACTTTTAAGATCATTGAGTCCAAACGTTAACGTATACGACTCTGTTAGGTTATCTAAATTATTACACATAATGGACAAAAGATATCCACATCTTCTATTAAACGTATGTTCCTGGGATTCATCTGAGTGACAGGTTAATGTACTGCTTATTTCTGTCTGATAACACTTCTTACTCTTCTTTCTTCCTTGTCTTTCTAAAGCTAGTTACGATAACATGAGCATTTTCCAGTTCTGTCAGTTTTAAACCCACATGTTTCTAGCACCTTCTAAAGCTAGTTACGATAACATGAAATGAGCATTTTCCAGTTTTGTCAGTTTTAAACCCACGTTTCTAGCACTGCCTGCTACTTTTAATCCTAATAGGATTTTTAACTGCCTTTGTCTGTGCTTTATTTCCCCAGGATCTACTAATGTTTAAAGAAAACCTTTATTAAGTAAATGGAAGATGGTGTTCAGGTACCTCCATCCCTTTCTTTTGCTGAGCATTGTCTGATGTTTCCTGTGCAGAGATCTTTTGGCTTCTGTTTAGTCTTAACAAGAAAGCTGCTAAGTTGCTTTAAAAGTTAGAAAGTGAGCAGCCAGCATTTTACAAAAAGTTGGCATTTTGAACCTTAGAAAAGTCCTTATGCAAGTTAACAGAACTACACCATAATGAGGGACTCTGTCTTTATCAGGCTTTGCAGTCGTAGCTAAACAGGGAGAAACTACTTGCAGTGTAATTGACTTTAAAAATCTTAATTAAGAGCCTTATGTGTGACAGTTTATCAGGAAAAGACATTTCTGTGAACAGAATGAACAGGGGGGACTTGCGAGATGTCCAGAATGACTGAATGGGAGCGAAGAGACGTCAAAGGCAAAGGAATAAATACGAAATGTTTGTCAGCCTGGATCTTTCAGTTTCAGGCAGCGATGCCCAGGATTTCTTTCTTTTTTCAGAGTGTATGTACATCTTGAGAAGTACCAAGCCAATGATCTTGCAGGAGCATGAAGGCATTGGCCGTGGGCTTTGTGGCTGCTCTGCCAAGTTGTGACTCCTCTTGCTTCTCTGTTTCTGGTGGGAGCTGTTTTTTTCACCCAGCTGGGTGAGGTTTCCAGGCCCTCACAACTCTTCCATGGGTGCCAGTACAAAAAAGGTAATTTGTAGCAGTGGGGCAGAGGCAGCTAATTGCCTGCAAGGTGCAGGGCAATAAAGAGAGGAAGCTTTGCAAAGGAAACCATTCAGCTTTGTTGCAGCGAGTAGATGAGTGTGCTGGTTAAACCACGACAATGAGAAGGGAGAATACGGAGGGGTTTTTGACTGCCTTTCCTAGGCTTCTTTTTCTGCTTGGGTTGAAACGAGGGCAGGTTCAACACCAGTAGTTTATAGTTTGGGTTCCAGGCTCTCTGCCAGCCTTGTGTGGTTTCGGGAAAATACTGTGTGGTTGCCGAGAGGCATGTTACTTACTGCGTGGGGGAGTAAGGATTCAGTGTCACAGCAGGGGAGCAGCCGACAGAGGGAGTAAGTCCACCCTGTAGTGGGCTACAGCAGGCTTTCCTGCTGCTCTCTGGGATTGTGGTGCAGCGTCACTGTGGGGTCCCAGAGACAGCAGTGCTGTTGTGTGTGCTGACAGGTGAAAGGCTCACCTTTCGCTCACCTCACACTTTGTGACCTACCTGGGGGCAAGGAGATCTACTCCTGCTCTTCGTGTGTACCTCTGAAGAATGAGGTCCTGCCGAAGATGAATAAATGGTCAAATAATTTAATTTTTAATTTGCGTCTTCATCCTTTGTTATTTTAATAGAGACATAGCAGCCGTCAGCCTAGCCGTGGAAGGTTGAGAAGTGGTGATCATCACTAATATATAGTAAATGTCTTCTGAGATCAGAGGGCAGAGATAAAGAAGTGAATCGTAGATTCACTGCAGAGAACTGAGCTATAAGCAGCAAGGAAGAAATAAAGAAAAACAGACCTTTTCTTACGAACTTTAGACTTTAATAAACAGCTAAGTTGCACAATCTATTACAAAGCAGTAGATAAGGAGGAAAAGAAGAATGAAAGAGTATTTGAAGTAGATAGATAATGTATTTTACGCAGACATTTTTGTAGCTAAGAAGTAAAACTGGATATATCTAAACAGCAGAGGAAAGTAGCTCTGAGTCTGGACTTACTGAAAGATCATTCCACTTTTCCCCAGCCATTTTTTTTAATTCACCTAATTGTTTTCTCATCCTCTTCTGACTTATCCACTTATCCCATCCTCAAGTCTTGTTAATTTATGGTCACTATTAAATTGTATAAATTGTATAAAAAAGACATTCTTAAAGCCTCCAGTGACAAATGGGCTCAGGAGTGGGACTGGCACTGATCAACCTCTTTGTCAGTGTCACAGACAGTGGTATCGAGTACACCCTCAGCAAGTTTGCTGATGACACCAAGCTGTGTGGTGCAGTTGACACGCTGGAGGGAAGGGATGCCATCCAGAGGGACCTGGACAGGCTGGAGAGGTGGGCCACTGCCAACCTCATGGAGTTCCATACGGCCAAGTGCAAGGTCCTGCACCTGGATCGGGGCAATCCCAAGCACAAGTACAGGCTGGGTGGAGAGTGGATAGAGAGCAGCCCTGAGGAGAAGGACTTGGGGGTACTGGTGGATGAAAAGCTGGACATGAGCCAGCAGTGTGAGCTGGCAGCCCAGAAAGCCAACCGTATCCTGGGCTGTATCCAGAGAAGTGTGGCCAGCAGGTCGAGGGAGGGGATTCTGCCCCTGTTCTCTGCTCTTGTGAGACCCCACCTGGGTTACTGCGTCCAGCTCTGGGGACCCCAGCGTAGGCAGAACATGGACCTGTTGGATCGAGTTCAGAGGAAGTGACAAAGATGCTCAGAGGGCTGGAGCGCCTCTCTTATGACGAAAGGCTGCGAGAACTGGGCTTGTTCAGCCTGGGGAAGAGGAGGCTCCGGGGAGACCTTATAGCAGCCTTCCAGTACCTGAAGGGGCTACAAGGAAGCTGGGGAGGGGGACTTTTTACAAGAGCAGGTAGTGACAGGACAGTGGGCAATGGCTTTAAGTTGAAAGAGGGTGGATTTAGATTAGATATCAGGAAGAAGTTCTTCCCAGAGAGGGTGGTGAGGCAGTGGAACAGTTTGCCCAGAGAAGCTGTGGATGCCCCATCCCTGGAAGTGTTCAAGGCCAGGCTGGATGAGGCTTTGAGCAACCTGGTCTAGTGGAAGGTGTCCCGGCCCCTGGCAGGGGGGTTGGAACTGGATGGTCTTTAAGGTCGCTTCCAGCCCAAACCATTCTGTGATTCTGTTTATAATGTTGACCACAGCCAAGCTGGAGTGAAGTCCAGGTTGTCAAACACGTTGTAAACATTGAATCTACTTCAGTATTGTCACTGCCTAGACTGACAAAAAAATATTTGTACCAGATACACGGGTTGTCTTGGGAACAGCAAAATTCAAGTATTTCCAGAGATGGCTAGCAAAATTGGAGGAAAAATCCCCAAACCAAAATAAACCATTTTCTTCTTCCTACAAATGTGACTTTAATATCATGTTTGGGGATGGGATCTGAAAGTGAGCATCATGTTCTGTGACTCCAGGACAGACCAATCAAAGAAACTCAGTATTAAAAAATTTGTATCTCTATCCATTTAGGTATACTTTTTCCCGTCAAAGGGCTTTTATTGATGCTGGAGGTGAAGTCCACAAGTTGGCTAGATAGTGTCCCAGTTGTTTAAGGGATCAACTTGTTAAACTCTGTCACAGTCTTCTGAACACATCAGTTTGAATGTTAGTTAATCTGGCAGATCATTAAGCCGTGTCTGTCTGGGTGTACTGCTATGTTAATGAAGGCCTGCAGCGGATCAATTTAAGTCAGAAGACTGTTCCTGTAGCCTTTTTTGATAGCCTGTTCCATTTTGTAGGTTCAGAGAGATTTCTTTATATGAGTGTAAGATTTTGGAGCAGATCCTGGAATTCTTTCTTTTTTAAATAATTTCTTTATATAACAAAAAATATTCTTTCCATTTCAGTCATTCAAATTCGGTAGCCCCAAAATACCAGGAACTTAGATGTTATTAACACAGAAGGGCTGTAACAGGACACAAAATGTCCATGTTACAAATGTTTTTACAAGACAACTTAAACCTTCTACAAGAAATGAAAGAGTAATAAAATTAATTGGAAACAGTTGGCTTTCTTCCCACTTCCTACCTACAACTTTTAGGCTTGCAATAGAAAATACAATTTATTTAAGAAATAAGATCAATGAGGATGTTTTCAAAGTAGGCAGTAGAATTTCTCTGAAATTCTCATTAGGTGTGTTTATAAAAAAGGCAGAATTTTCGTGTTAGGTGTGATTTTTAAATGATGGTTCTGCAAGTGAAATGTTAACAGATTAAATTGATGATTAAACATTCTATCAGTCTGCATTTGAGATAATTTTTCAAATGTGACTGGTCATGAAACCTATCATATATTATGTTCTAACATGACAGGCGTGTTTGTAATCTAGAATGGGAAAAGTTGGGGGTTTTTTTGGTTTTTTTTAGTAAAATGGAGAAAGAGCATTGATACATAAACTGCTAACACTTTAAAAATATTAAAAATACTTAACATACATTGCAGTTTAACCGAAGAAGGCTGAGACAACATGCTTTTGCCCTATTGAAACAAACCAAAATTATTAGACTTCTTGGTTTTTGATTCCAAACTCTGTTGAAGTAAACCTGCTTTTACCAAGTATTACGGGGTTGGATTAGGTTTGGTTCTTTGGAATGGGGTATTTTTTAATGGAATTACCTTTTTTTCTGGTGGAGGGTTCTTCTCCCAGAATATTTTGACCACCACTTTTTATCAAGTGTCTACAAGCTGGTTGGCATCCAGTCCTTTTCCAAAGTATATTTTGAAATTAGCCTTCACTGAAGCTGCCCTGATTGGAGAACCAGGCTTTCAGACTGAACCGTCTCTGGATAGAAGCACACAAACTCGAAAATGTCACAACAAACAGACAGGCTGCATACTCATTTTAATTCATAGATATATAAAGCTGTTCATGTTGCATACAGAGATTTGCACCGTTAATAAAACTCTTCTGTGTTTCTTATTCGTTTGTCATGAACAGAACCCGTAGGACTCTGATTTATTCCAGAAACAGCAGAACATTAGTTTACCACTACTGCCATTTAGTGGTCTATATATGATTATCTGGTGTGTTACTGCATAGTTTGTCATCTGGCAGCATTAAATCTAGCACTTTACATACTAGAGAGAGAGAATGTCATATTCTCCAAAGGCTAATCATGCTGCAGCTAAAGCAAACTTCTAAAGCAACTTTCTTGTAATTTTTAGGATCTTGCTTTTTGTTGTTGTTTTCACCAGTGCAGGTACAAATATTTAATGTTTTACATTTACTTTAAATGCCTGTAAAAAGCAGCATATTTGTTTCTCCTCTAGTCTTACACAAAAACCAAGCAATGAGATTTTTTTTTTCCACTTTCTAACAGAAAAGCGCAAGCTGCTTGCGTTCCAGCAGTTCACCTGCACATGACTGCAGCCACCATGCAAGTCAGCCAGAAAGACTTTGAAAAGGCTCAAGAACAACTGAAGCTTTTGAAAAAGGACCCTGGGAATGAAACTAAGTTGAAGCTCTACGCTCTGTTTAAACAGGTAGGCTTGACTTACTTTGTTTCATAAGGGGCATTTATAATCTGAGGGGATGGACCTCAGATTATAAAACATTTACTTAACACAGGGGTTGTTCAAATGTATTGTGTTTTAACGAGCTCTTTGAGTGCTCGAATTCTGTTCTTGAAATAACCAACCCCTCAAACCCTGCCTGAATTCTGAGGCAAGCCAAACGTATTTCATCTTATAAATCATGCTTTGAATAGAAATCTTTATTTAAAGAAATAGAGGCGATTTACATCAATTGTGTGATGCCTTCAGTATAATATAGCATATATTGATGCAGCTCTGGAAAATGGGTTATGCCTAGGAAAATACAGTATGCCACATGCTGCTTCTTAAATTTGTTGTATCTACAGTCAGTCAGTTGGGCCTATAATACAGTGGTGTTGACATTTGAATGCTAGTTTCTGGAGGTTTTTTTTCTTTCTTGTTTTTTTGCATGGTTGTTGTTGGCTTTTTTTTAGATAAATGCAAGGAACTGTTCCTGCTCGTTTGCAGTAAAGCATAACCTTCACTCATGCATGGAAGGAGACCTTGGTAGAAATAGCTGCAAGTCCTTAGCAGGGTTTGTACTGGTGTTTGGGGAAGTATTTGTGAATCAAGATTGGCTGCAGGGTCAGTATAGGCTGTGGCTTGTTATATTGAAGAAGGCAATTAATCGCTCCTTTAAATAAAAATGTAGACAGCTGACTGTTCCAGCTAGTTTTACTAATTAATAATAATGAGCTCAAAAATTTATTCTTTCTTTCCTGCCTCTCACTTGAAATATTTCTTTCTGATAGTGTACTTTTCTTCAGGAAAACTGATCATGGAATATTTCAGGATAGCTTGTACTCCTGCGGTTTTAACTGGTCCAATGCCCTTGCTCATAGTAACACCAACTTTGAAGTAAGATCCAGCTTAATAGATCCAATGCAATGGCTTCTTTGTTCACACATTTCACAAGTCTTTAACTTTCTTTTTAAGTATAAAACTTCCACAGTCTCTCAGATAGGATAACGTAACATGCATGGGTGTTCTGGAATATAACGTCTCATACTGGTTAGGTGCTTCTGAAAGCCCAGCACCAAGTGTTAGGAAAGGGCAGACTGAAACTGAAAACTTCATGGTATGTGAACTGTCTGAATATTGCCCAGCCACTGGGTATTCCTTCTGTCTTAAGAATTGAATTCTGTATCCTGATCAGATAAATACTCTGAGCATCATCATCTTTTCTGCCAAGGCATATGATCTTTAACCAAAGGTTTAAATAAGTTTTATTTCACTCTGTTTACAGGCTACTGAAGGTCCTTGCAATTCTCCAAAACCAGGTATGCTGGACTTTGTCAAGAAAGCCAAGTGGGATGCATGGAGTTCTCTTGGCAATTTGTCTCAGGTGACAATACATATAATTTCACTTAGATACTTTGTCAATTACTCTGCTTTACAATACCTGGACTGTAAGTGAATGGGTTATGTCTAAACTAGCATATTATATGCTAGTTGACTGAACCTGCTTCAGACACCAACATGTTTTGCACTGTATTCTACTGTCATTTCACTGCTTTAGTGTTTGAAGTTTTGGTTTGTGGGAGGGTTTTTTTGTTACTGTGTGAGCCTGGTTCTACAATATTCCTGCCAGCTTGTACCAGTATAAGATAGCTTACATATGTGTTGACTTTCAATTAAAAATAATAGTTTTCGCACTATGTTCTGCTCTTCCCTTTAAGAAAAAATGGATTGAGCTTCTCAGTTCTTGCAACAAAGAGCAAATTTGTGAATCCAGCATGTGGATAACTGTCATTTTAAAAAGTCAGTCTCTTATGCCACTGACTAAAAGACAAGAAAAAAGTGGTGCACTGAGAGCTTCTCTTCATTCTTGCTCAGTATATCTTGACATCTGTAATACCTTTTGCAACCTTTAGAGAATTCTTTACTTCAGGTGAAGTGATCAGGAAGAATAAAGATGCAAAGATGCATAAGCATTCTTGTTTCATGCAGACTGTAGCAAGTCTGACACCGTATATAGCTACCACAGTTCCATCAGAAACAAAGGATCTGTAGAAATGTGTAAATGCTGGGAATATGAGAAAGGTCTCTGGTAATCTTAGGTGTGGATGGGGGCACTTCTCCAATAAAATAAATGTCATCATCCCAGCATCTGAGTTATTTTGTGGATTTGTTGCTGCTCCTTTCCAGATGATTTTAGATATGATCTGCAGTGTTCAAATACAGCATGTTCTTCTTCTCATCCTAATTAGAGTGCTCTCTAATTGAGATTTTTTTTTTTCTTTAGTCCTGAAGCACAGTCCTCGTCCCCAGTACCCATTTTATGAATAGCGTGACAGACTGATTTCCATTTCAGCCTTTGACAATCTTGAGGTGTGGTTTTTTTGCTTTAATTGCAGGAGAATGCCAGGCAGAAATACACTGAACTTGTCTCAAGTCTGGTCTCTGCAGAATCTGCTGGCCAGAAGAAAGAGGCTTCTCCAGAAGTGAGCGGACATAGTGGCTATGAAACAATACTAGTTACCACCAAAAACAATATCACAAAGATAATGTTTAATCGACCTGATAGGAAAAATGCCATCAACCATAAGGTAAAGAAATTAACTTGGGAGGATCAATGGTTATTTTCTTTCCTGGGTAACCTACTGAAGTTTTTAAAGAATCATTACTGCAGGTTTAGCAGAACTGACTGAAGCATGGCGGTCTGAATTTTCAGTATCTTGACTTTGATGACAACCTAAGGAATAAATATCTGGTACAAAACATTCAGCTAAAATTTTATGGATTGGGCTTTTTTGTGTCTTTTGGTTTTTTTCAAACTTACCATAGGATTATAGTCTGCACTAAACTAGTGCAAGCTGCAGGAAGACCGGCCTGCTTTGTGGATACAAGATTTGACTGTAGCCTTGTGTATAGTGAAGCATGGGTCCAGCCTACTTGGGCTTAGCACTCTGGGTGTGTGTCGAGTAGTCTTCTGGCTCCCGTAGCTGTCTTCACAAGGAAGTTCATCCTGCTGGAAACGAGATCGTGCAGTTTTGCAACCGCAAAGATACCAGAACAGGGACTTCACCCCACTGCTGCTAATTCTTTAATAGATTATTTGGCCCACTTAAACTACTTAGCAGGTTTTAAAACTAGCTTTTTCCAGGTAATGTGGGTTTTCCAAAGGACCTTATTTTGTTCTTTCGATTTGCATCAGAAGTCTTGAGTGTTGTAGGCATGTGTCTGTATGGTCAGAAATATCTTGCATGTAATACCTGACTTTCTGTGGATGCAAATTTTTTTCATACTTAAAAGGACCATAGTTAATAGGTCTGTCAAGTTCCTTGTTGTCAGTGTGAATCTCCTTTTTATGATCTTTTGCAGCATACATTTGTACTTTGTTGATTTTTCACTTACGCAGATGTACAGAGAAATTATCAAAGCGCTGGAAGAAGCTGGAAAAGATGATTCTACCATAGCAGTTATTACTGGTACCACACCTTACATGCTTCTCTTAGAGTTGTTTTATGTTATGCCAAAGTACAGTACTGACGTGAACTATCTACCTGTGTTTAGACTAAGATTGAATTGGGTGAGTGTGGAAATCCTTTCCTCTAGTATAGACCAAAGATCTTCCAAAGTGTTTGGAAAAATTCTTTCAAGGTGATGTTTCAAATTCTTCAGCAAGCTTGCTGTTGCATCAGAACATCTTTCTGAGATAAGAAGATAAGACACGGACTACTCCGAAGGGCTTTTACTACTTTTGAGTAGCTGATATATCTGCTCCACGTCATCTTCACTACTGCTTTTGAAGTTTGTTGGTATGGGTTTAGTCAATTTTCTCTACCCCTGTGATACATTGGAACATAATAAAGCAAAGCACCTTGAATCCTGCTCTGGCATGGCCAGTAAAAAATCTACACTTCGTACACACACCTATGATCACTGGAAAAAAATGATGCTTTATGTGGACATTTACTGTTTACTCATTACTTCTGAGGTAATTGCATACATATTCTTCTCCACTGTGTGCTTTACCAATATCTTTTATTCCCAGGGTGCTGAATTTCCTTTCAGCAGCAATGACTCGGCATACCAACCCCTACACAGTGAGATGGGTAGTTCACAGAGCTGCAGTGTCTAACAGTGTATAGCTGTAGGAGTGCACACCAAACACCCCTGCACAAACCTTCCCGTCCCATTTTACGTAGTGAGTAGGAGTGCTGCAACGTAAAGTAATGGAGGTGCCAACCAGTGAAGGGTCCCGTCCTGTCAGTGTCCTCGTGGAACACAGGATGATATAGACAATTAAATCATGCAGTCTAGCTTTTAAACACTCCTTGCTCTTTGATGATGCCTCAAATTGACTCGTACGTTCAGTAACAGATTATCTGCTTCTTACTGAATAATGCATCTTTCAGTACAGTGATTTCAATGCAGTGCTCAGTCTTATCCTTAGAACGCTATGCCTTTTCCTTAATTGGTCATCCAAAATGTGGAACTTCTACTACATATTAAATAGGTTACTCTGTTGACTATTGATTCCTTCATCAGTCTGAAGGGGGATGAAGGGAGATGCATGAGCTTAAATTTCCATTTTTCCGTTGAAAACCAAAGGTTTCTTTCTCACATCTTACTGGGTGAGTGATCGTGATTTGACAGAAGAAAAATGAGCAAGTATGGAGGGAAAGAAATAATCTTTTTTTTTCCTTATAATACTGTTATGGAAAAAAAAAATTATTTTTCCCTTCCTCAAATCTTTAAAATTTAACAATGTTTGGCTTTTTACCCATTGTTCTTCAGTGAATTATCCGTCAACACTTATTTCTAAACCATAGATGTCCTTTAAGGTAGCGTGTTTACTTTGAGACAGTCTCTCTAGTTACTTAATAACGTTAGACACTTAGAATGAAATTCTTCTCTAAATGTAATAAACAGAAGCTTCTCTTCTCTTACCTACTCAGAACCATGGGTGTACTTATTCATGTGTTCTCTGCAGGAAATGGAGACTACTATAGCAGTGGGAATGACCTGAGTAATTTTACTAATATCCAGCCCAGTGAAATGGAGAAGATGGCAAGCGATGGAGCAGTATTACTCAAGTAAATCTCATCAATGCTTATAAATATCTAAAGGGCGGGTATGAAGAGCCAGACTCTTTTCAGGGGTGCCCAGCGACAGGACAAGGGGCAGCAGGCACAAACTGGAGCACAGGAAGTTCCACCTGGACTTGAGGAAACACTTCTTTACTCTGAGGGTGCCAGCACTGGAACAGGCTGCCCAGAGAGGTGGCGGAGTCTCCTTCTCGGGAGATGTTCAAAACCCGCCTGGACGCTTTCCTGTGCAATCTGCTCTAGACGAACCTGCTCTGGAAGGGGGGTTGGGCTAGCTGATCTCCAGAGGTCCCCTCCAACCCTGACCATTCTGTGATTCTGTAAAACATCCTGGTTTCATATATGGAGAAGTTACTGTAATGGATAAAATATAATTTGCAGGCGTTGTCTCATGTGTATGTTACAGTCTTCCATTTTGCTCTTGGGAGAAGACTGTACTTGCTATGCTGTGACTGTTACACAAGCACAGTCCTTCATTACAGCTGATGCACAGAAATGCCAAAGAAGGGAGTTTTTACACCAGTCCTCACTTCTGAAAAATGTTCTATTTTAAGAATGTATTTTGCACTTCTTGGATGGAGAAGTAGCTGTCAAATGAATGAAAACACTGTCAAACCCAGGCAGACCAGCACTAGGGAGTTCTGTGTTAAGGTAGCATCACAATTTAATGCCTGCTGGAGCTTCACTGTAGAACAGAATCTGTGAGGGGAATGGGTGCCCCCCCGGTGGGGCTGGACGGATACATAGAGAGAGAGACAGGCCAAAAGACTGTTCTTGCTAGTGACCTGTATTCAGTAACTGCAGCTGAAGAGGAGAGCACTTTCATAACTTGATAAGCTGTGCTGTCTTGCATGTGCTTGATTCTTAGTTGGTGAGAAAATGCAGATATTTCAAATAGTTCTTATTTTCTCTGTCAGAATTCATTTGGGAAGGAGACAAAACCATTTGCTGCACAGCATCTAGCTCGTGGGTTTTGTTATGCAGTATCTAATCATGTGTTTTGAAAGTTGTTTGTCTTTGATGAAAAAGATGAGGATGTGTCCCTTACATTATGTTTTTCCTTCTCTGTAGAGAGTTTGTGGGTCATTTTATCGATTTTCCTAAACCACTGATTGCAGTGGTAAATGGCCCAGCGATTGGAATCTGTGTAACGGTCCTTGGGTTGTGTGACCTTGTCTATGCTTCTGACAGGGTAAGTAGATTACATATCTGATCCCAAGGCCTCTTTCTGGTGCAAATATTATTTGGTTTGGGGTAATCAGACAGAAAAGAACACACAAGTGTAAAGGCCTTTTATATCGCCTCAGGGAACACCCATATTAATTACCAGCATGGGGCTCCATCAGCTAGTGTTTAACATGCATGGAAATTCCCTGCTCTATTTATGGTTATTGAGTTAGTGACTCCAGTTTGGAAACTCCTTACTGTAGCAGTGGGTAAAATAAATAGTAGCTGATGTGACATGATGGTTGTAAGGCCCCTTTCAGCTGTGGGAGGGGGAGCAAAAGATGGAATGGATAAGTGGCATTTTGTCTAATCTTGTGTTCCAAGGTAACTTTGGAAAAACTTTGGTATATTCAACTTAAGATTCCTTCTAAGGTAACTTGCCAAATACATAACCGAAAGCTCTATTAAGGCATAGCACAGAATACCATTATATGGCTTATTTTTTATGTTTCATGCGTTCATTTGTATAAGGTTATTAAAAAGATACAGAACTTAACCCAAGGTTTTAATTAATATTAGGCAAGCTTTTGCTTGCAGGAGTGTCTGTGATGGGTGGTACTTTGTCTCCTGCTTTGTGTCAGATTTTTCCTCAGAGTCCCTGCTGCAGTTTTTCAGTCCCTGTTTGTCACTATGAGACTTAGGAAAGGGACCAACTCCTTCTGCTTGCCCCATAACCGGATCAGCTAGGGCCATGTGGCTGCTGACATCTGCTTATATAACCTGCATGATGATTTCAGACTATTCCGGTCCCTAGAGCTCTTCTTTTAATAGAAAACTATTGGGTTCTCCCTCTTCTTCCCCTCCCATCTAATCTTTTTTTTTGCTGCAGAGTAAACCTATTGTTTCTTGTTCCTGAATTTAAAACCAGATTATTTTCATCCTCTCTTACAGTAGCCATAAGTGTGCTTAGCCATCAATGTACTTAGAGTGTTAGATATATCTAAGTTTGCATCCACTCTCTCAGTTTTTTCTTTTTTCAGCTAAACGCCTGCAATTCATGCAGTTTTTCCTCATGGCTTTCTTATGCCTGCAGTCATATTCCTCCGGATTCCTTCCAGTTGTTCTGCATCTCTTGAAGCAGAGTGGTACAAACTGGACACATCACTCCAGCTCATGTCTTACTGATGTGAAGTAGAGCAGAACAACTTCTCCACCTTCTGCAGACTGTATTTCTGTTTTGACATCCCACAATATTACTTAATTTACATACTCATCTGCTCTAGCAGCTGGATCCCTTACTGAAGAGTTACCAGTTAAACATCTGTCCCTATCGTATATCGTATACCACGTTACTCCTGCCAGACTTTAACTTGTCCATACTGAACAGCATCTTCTCACTCGTACCTCTCTGCTTTATTAAGACTGTTTATATCTAACTTCCCCCTTGGCATAGTAGTTCCTACAGCCACAGATCAGTATGGATTTAGTTGAAATTTAATCCAAATAAGCACTAAATGTTTTGACCTGTTAATAGTACCCTTCTGTCTTGGAAGATTCATACTCGAACTTCCTTTTACTTTTATATTTTACCAATATGTAATCATTCATAAATGCATCGTATTTTCGCCTTGTATTTCTATTTTTTTAATCTCTGCATGCTTATATTCATTTCATACTTCGTTGTCTGACATAGTTTTCACTTTCTGTGTACTTGTACTTAAAGTCAGTGCTTTAGCTGAGACAATCTGTTAGTAGCCTTCCTACCTGCACTGGGACAGCTTTGGCTTCTGCCCTTGGTAGCAGTTCTTTGAGGATTTCTGTAGGGTCTAACTTAGCTTTTCACTTAGGTTAGTCTTCATGAGACTTCCCTATTAACTTCAAGTTTATTGCAGCCTTCTCAAAGGTGATTGTTGTCTGTTCTTCCCTTTCCAGGGTTGTGAACTCTCATGCAGTAAGGTCATTCTTATCTAAATTAGTACGTAATTTCACATTCTCCAGTAGTTTGGTTGGAGTGCCTTAGGCGTTGACTGCCTACTCCAGAAGTAGCCAGCTTTGCTGTGTCCAGGATCTCCTTTTATCCTCACCCAGGTATTCCCAGAGCAGATCGTTACCAACCACATTTACGGGACAGTGCGCAGCCCAGTCTGACAACAGACCAGCATTTTGGGCGCTCAGTTGACATTGCCTTCTGCGCCAGATTTTGCTCCAGTTCCTGAGGTGCCAGTTTGTACCCTGGGTGTGGTACCCTCTCCCCTTGCTAAAGCAAGACCAATTAGGCTAGGCTGTATCCTGGCAGGCATTGCCTGATCTTTTCTTACAGTGATGCAGTTGTCACTTTCTTCCTAGGAAGTCTGTTGATCTGTCTTGCTGTGTGGCCCTCTGCGGTACAGTGAGAGGTGGTTAACTCCTGTTGCATTGAAAGCTTCTTTGCCAGCTCGTGCGCTCCTTGGGTGTCAGTTCAGGTGTTTAAATGCAAATAAAGGCCATTGTTTTGTCTTCCTTGCTTAGTTGATGTAAGTCATCAAAACATAAAATTCTGCAATTCAGTTCTAACTTGAAATTAGGTATTGTTTTGCGTGATCACAGGATACATTTCTGCCACAGGTTGTTTTTAAATTTTAATCAGATTTGAGGAAATAAGATTCAATGACTTGAATTTTTCAGGAGAAGAATAAACTCGTGCCTTCAGAAAGCAAAATGTTCTTTACCTCTGAAGTTGTTTGGGCTATGTATTTACTTTTAGCACGGATGTGTGTGAACATCTTTTTTGTAAAGGTTTTCCTCATGCAAATAAGTTCCTCTAGGCACTGTATTCAGATAAGGTAACTTCATCCACAGGGTGGTTATGATAAGAGAATTGAATTAGACCAAGGCAGCTCGTAGGAGCATTGAGAGGATGAAGCAGTGTTACCAGATGGTATTTAAAGACTATGATGGTAACAGTTCCAATGTATGTTTGGTGAACTCTGTCACAGCAGAAGCTTTAAAATGGAAACTAAATCTTAGTTAGTTCTTTTGTCCTGTGCTCTGTTGTGAGATTTGCTTTAATTTGTTCCTTTTTTTTTTCCCCCCTCAGGCTACATTTCACAGCCCGTTCAGTCAACTTGGACAGAGCCCAGAAGGATGTTCCTCTTACCTGTTTCCAAAAATCATGGGCTTAGCTAAGGTAAGAATGTCTGCACTCTGTGTGGGATCATCTGACCTTTGTGTGTCGGTATCCTCCAACTGTAAGAAGAAGTGGAGTCACAGCAGGAGTCCTCAAAGAAAGCTCCTGTTCACATTTTTTGAAACAAAGATGAAGAAATGCAATGGTAGTGTCAGCACAGGCACTAGAGTAGTGAGATGAAGCCATACTGTGATACTGATGAAGGTTTTCTTTCTCATGGCTTCTTCCATCTTCTTGAGACAATTTCTGTATGGAACAGGCTGTAGCTTTCCCCCAGCAATGGGAGGGAATGATGTAAAGAAGGGTTAAAAAAAGAAAATGAGCACTCTTAAGAAATGTCTTGGTAGGCTGCCTTTATCAGGCAAGGGAGCAAGTGTTGCAGTGGTGTGTGCCAACCCTGTGGGAAACCTGTATTCAACCATTCCTCCAAATGTGAATGTGAAGCAATCCATTTATGCGTTTACTTCCAGACCTTTTAGATTATCTGGTTTATCCTAATATATTTTGGTCTTCTGTCCATAGTCTTATTTTCGCTCTCTACTCTAGAAATAAGGAAACTAAATAATAGTAATTTAAAAAAAAGAAAACAAAAAGAAAAAATGAGGAGAGACAGCAGAATCTAAATTTTCTTTACTTAGAACTCCCTTTCTGCTTTTCTTGATATCCCGGAGAAAAAAAAATTGATAGTTTCAAATACCTCTATTATTGCCTGCATTAACATAATTTATTTTTGTTGAGCAGGGTTTAAATCTGTGAGGAATAGAGGGAGTGCTTCATAAACAACCAAGTATCAAGGGTAGTCCATTCAGTGAGATGTAACCTACCAGTACATGTTCTAAAAATCTTAGAGTCACTGCAGGAAGTGAACAGACACATTTATGATGAGGTAATTTCAGGTGACAACCTTGGAGCTCTGCTGGAGAAGGCATGTAGACTGTTGGTCAGCAATAGGAAATGGAGACCAGTCACTAGTGGTGTAGCCCAGGGGTTGATACTGGGTCTAGTAGTTGTTTAACCTCTTCATTATGGCCCAGATGAGACAGGTGACACAAAAGAGAGAGGAATGGTTGATACACCAGCTGCATTGCCATTCAAAAAGACCTGGGTAGGCTGGAGAATTGGAGAATCTCATCAACTTCAGCAACGGAAAAGGCAAAGTCCTGTACCTGGGAATAAATAATCCCACACACCAGTGCATGCTGGGGGCTTACTGGCTGGAAAGTAGCTCTGTAGAGAAGGACCTGTGTGTCCTCATGGGCAATGAGTTGCCCGTGAGCCAGCAACGCACCTTTGTAGGATAGAAGGCTGAGGTTATGCTGGGCTGCATTGGACAGGGCGTTGCCAGCAGGTTGAGGGAGGTCATTCTTTCCCTCTGCCAGCACTGGTGAGACCACAGCTGGAGTGCTGTGTTTGGGTCTGGCTACAGGAAAGACACGGGCATACTGGAGCAGGCCCAGCAAAGATGATTAAGGCACTGGAGTATATTGCATTTGAGGAGAGGCTGAGAGAGCTGGGACTGTTTTGCCTGGGGCAGAGAAGGCTTAGGGGATTCTTACTGATGTTCATAAATACCTGATGGGAAGATGTAAAGAAGGTGGAGACATATTCTTGTCAGTGGTGCCCAGTGGCAGGACAAGAGGAAAGGGATACAAGCTGAAACACAGGAAATTCCATCAGAACCTAAAAAAGTAATTGTATCGTGAGGGTGGTGAAACGTGGGAACAGGTTGTGCAGAGATGCTGTGAAGTCTTCATCCTTGGAGATACTCAAAACCCAACAGGACAGAGTCCGGGGCAGCCAGCTCCTGCTCAACCTGCTTGAGCAGGGCATTTGAACTAGACAGTGTCTGGAGGTCCTTTCCAACCTCCTCTGTTCTGTGATTCTGTGTTCTTTTTGGAGTGCAGACATTAGTGAGCAAGACAGGAGAACATGTGTGACTTGGACGCTTGTACCTTTCGCGTCAGATTACTCCAGTCATGTGTCGCACTGAATCACGCTCTGCATCTCTTTATACAGGCAAATGAGGTTTTGCTTTTCAATAAGAAGCTGACGGCAGCAGAAGCCTGTGCCCAGGGACTGGTGAACGAAGTCTTCCCCGACAGGTCTTTTCAGGAGGAAGTTTGGGCAAGATTAGAAGCTTATGCAAGCCTCCCCAAAAACGTCAGTATTTTAAATTTCTCTCCAACTTGTAAGCCTGTAGCATTCCCAATCCTCCTGCCAAACTGATCCTGTTACTTGGTTTCACTTCATCCTTAATTGAAATACCAAGGCTTAATATATTTTCCTTCAACGCAGATCTGTCTCTCTCCCCCTGCTGCTGGGAAACTGATAGGTCTCTGAATCCCTGGCTGAATCTAAGACTGAACACAGAGATTTAGTGGCTGAAAAGCCTTAAAAACTCACTCATCAATCCAGCAGATCTGTCTCTCTCCCCCTGCTGCTGGGAAACTGATAGGTCTCTGAATCCCTGGCTGAATCACAGAGATTCAGTGGCTGAAAAGCCTTAAAAACTCACTCATCAATCCACTTGCACTCTCTGTGTGCACCTTGGATGCCTTCTCTTAGATTTTAATTTTGGCAGTAGTCGGGTTTTAAGAGCCTTACCACTGGTTCTGCAATATTAATTGCACTGCGTGCACGGTGGATGATAAGAGGACGCTGGGTGGCTTTACTTGTTGCTGAACTGAGTCATCCTGCTCGCTAGTTTAGGTTCTGCAAAACGGCACGAGTCACAGTGGTGTTACATTACGTTGGACAAGAGGAGACACTGGTGCCAACTGCTGGTAATGTTGGTTGCGTTTGGCGCTGCAGAAAGTTGAACAGGTTTCGCTTCTTGTGCCCGTCTACTCCGATTATGAGCACTTAGTGGACTGCTCTTTTGCTTCCCATGAACCTCCTCCACCTCATTAGCCGTCTTGGTAATTAAATGCAATAATCACTTCCAGCTTAAAGGTTGACTAAAAGCTAGGAAGTACGATGTTAATACAACTCTGAATTCCAGTGTGTTTATTGTGTGACTTCCTGAAACACTGAGGTATAGAAACCATAACTTCCTAATGTCCCTCTCTCTCTCCTCCAGTCCTTGGCAGTGTCAAAGCAACTCTTGAGAAGTATGGAAAAGGAGAAGCTCCATGCAGTCAACAGTAAAGAGTGTGAAGTCCTGAAGGAGAGGTGGTTATCTGATGAATGTGTTAATGCTATAGTCAGCTTCTTTCAGAAGAAATCAAAACTCTAATCTTCACCAGTAAAGTAATTCACCTTCTGGCAATAGCTTAATCTGCCTTGTCGTTAATTAACTTTCTCTTCAAATAGTAAGAATTAGACATTTTGATGGGTTATATTTCTGTTCCGAGTACTAGGTTAAAACTGGTTCATAAGATTAATACCATGTTATGTGCCTTGGATCTGTTACGGATCGTTTGGTTGAGGAGAAAAGGTTTGTTGTTCTGTAGGCAGCAGTGATGTTTCTGAGTAATACTAAAGCAGGCCGTCTTCCAAAAGAAGCAGCAGATGCAATAGCACTGTATTTTGATAGCTCATCAATTAATGTCTTTTTTATCAATCTGTGGGGAAGGAAATACTGTATTCATGAAAAAATAAATACAAATGTTTAGATTACTGTTGTGCTGATTCTTACTCCTTCTGTTAAACATCCTCAGTAAGAGGGAAAGTAGTTCCTGGAAGTGTATTACTATAATAGTCTCACAGCAAAAGTATTCACTTGACTAACTTGAATTAGCCTCGCCTTGTACATCGCAGTTACTTATTACGTGAGAGTAATTGCTTCTTCGAAGAACTGGCCTGACTTAGAAGAAAATGAGGGAGGCTTTTCTGTTCAGAAGTAAGGCTCTTTTTTTTTCTTTTTCAAGAGCACACGCAAAGATGTTTGTTGTGAGCTGTATGGTTCTAATCTTCAATATGTTTTTCCATCAGTTGATTTATATTGCCCCTTTTCTGTGGAAAAATCCCGTTACAGACAGTATGACCTTTTACTGTAGCCATTTTGGAGTTAAATTAACAGAAGAATTATTTTTCAACAGAAAATTTCCCTGCTGTTCACAGGTGTCTTTGGGTGGAGAGTGCGCCAGGCACTGCAGAGGACAGGGGCAGGCTGCTGGAAGTAGGTAGGCACTTAGCTCATGCCAAGGGAATGAAATTGTGGAGAAGCAACGCTTACTCATCAAGAAAAGCCTCTCAATGGCAAGGAGCTGATTGTTGTTACAAAAAACAACCCCAAAAGTCATTGATTTCAGTACTCTAGACTGATCTCAGGAGCGTTGACAGTGAGAAACCCAAAAGGCAGCACTCCACTCCTGGCAGGTACGTACGTGAAAGCAGGGGTGCAGGGGGTGCCTGTGGGCAGTGCAGAGGCAGGCTGGCGTAGGTGCGGCAGAGCTTGAGGCGGGTGCCCGTTTCTTGCCGGGGTGCAGCGCGGCAGGGCTGGGAGGTGCTGGAGCAGAGCAGCCAGCCGCCAGAAACGGGCGGCTTCAGGTGCCGCCCACGTGCCTTGGCCAAGACTGGCGGTGCCACTGCCAGAAAGGTGCCTGTGCTTGGGCAGCGTGGACCTGCAGGGTGGCCGCTCAGCAGTGGAAGCAGGTCTTGAAATCCAGACTTTGCCTCCAGTGTGGTACCCAGCCGTTGTGACTTAACAGCTGGGAAAGCAAAAGGGGTGGCATGGCTGAGGCCCAGGGGGTGGTGGCGGGGGAGAAAGTGAGGCAGAGACCTGGCTGGGAGCCGAGCACTGCCAGCAGCCTATGTGGGCTCAGAGCTGCCGTGGCACACTAGCCACGTGAGGTGGTGGCCTCCGCCATCTCGCCTGGGTGCGCCTGCTGCTGCCAAGCAGCTCTTGGGCCAGTCACAGGGCGCAAGGCTTGGTGCTGGCCAGAACACGACAGCAGTTGTGTGGGGCAAGGAGGGGGCAGAGAGCTGCAGTCCTGGCCCAGAATTGGGGCGGTGCAGGGGGCGTGCCTTCGGGTCCAGGGGGTGAAACGTGGCTTTGTCTTGCCAAGGCTTTTGTGGCTCATGTGACTTTTTCATGCTGCTCACGTGAGACTGTGTCCCCGAAACACGTTCTGTGGGGTTTCCCTGGCACTGTGGTGGTGGCAATGTGGTGGTGGCCACTGTTGTAGCCAGAGATAAACAGTAGTTGTTCGGTCTTTTGAAAGCTCTTTATCGATGGTAACGTTTAGTAGGTTTACTAGCATGTGAGCCGTGTCAGCGAGTGCATTTTGTGTGCGCGCGATGTGTTTGCTTTCCTCAAGGAAAACTGCAGCCTTTCATAATCTGTTGATGGATAAAATAGAAACGGGGTTTTCTCGGTCAGTGGATGCCAGCACATCACTTACAGCGGGAGGTGAACCATGACTGGCTTTGTCATGAATTAGATCTGTTGATTTTTTTTTTCCCCCTCCCTGTTCCGACTCTCCATGAGTAATGAGAACAAATCAATATTGTTTCTAGGGAATGGCATTTCTTGTTAACTTCTGGAGAGTCAAATCATGGCCTCAGATTGCTAACTAAGTTCACTTCATAACTTTCGTAGTTCACAAAACATTGGTTTCTGCCTAGGAGCATCTTTAGTAATTTTTACCTGTTCTATAGATGTCTGGTATTAACAACAAAACAAGGCTGAGGAATCACTTCAAACAATTTCTATTTACCACATACAACAAATCATCAAGTTTAGATAATTTTTTCAGAAGTACAGTCACTTTTAAATGAGATTTATTATAATAGGAGAGTGAGGACTACGTCAAATGTTCCCAGTGCTCCCTGCAATGGTCCCTTCCCACCCAAACCGTTCTGTGATTCAAGGTATTGCCACTGGGTGCTGTACCTCTTGCTGCCACAGAGGTGCCACGTACAGCAGGGTTCAGGTCGCATGCACAATTACGCATGTGCTTAATGATCTGCCTCCAAGTTCCTGTAGCGTCACAGGTGAATAATCAGATATGTCACACAGTAATACTGGTGGCAAGATACCTAAACAGAGGTTTGGAAAATAATGTGTTTTAAGCTTACACTGGATATAAAACCTACAACATTGTTTGATTATGTTCATTATAGTTACTGTTAATATGGCACCTGTTTTTACACAGATTCCCAGAGTGGAAGGGGTTGGAAGGGACCTCTAGAGATCATCTAGTCCAACCCTCCTGCCAGAGCAGGATCCCCCAGAGTAGAGCACACAGGAACAAGTCCAGGTGGCTTTTGAAAGTCTCCAGGGAAGGAGACTCCACCACCTCTCTGGGCAGCCTGTTCCAGTGCTCTGGCACCCTCACAGTGAAGAAGTGTTTCCTCATGTTCAGGATGAACCTTCTGGTTTCCAGTTTATGGTCGTTGCCCCTCGTCCTGTCACTGGACACCACTGAGAAGTCTCTGGCCCATCCTCCTGACACCCACCCTTTAGATATTGATAAGCATTGATAAGATCCCCCCTCAGCCTCCTCCAAGCTAAACAGACCCAGCTCTCTCAGCCTTTCCTCATATGGAAGGTGCTCCAGGCCCTCCATCATCTTAGTGGCCCTGCGCTGGACCCTCTCCAGTAGTTCCTTGTCCTTCTTGGGCTGAGGAGCCCAGAACTGGACACAGTACTCCAGGTGAGGTCTCACCAGCCCAGAGTAGAGGGGGCGGATAACTTCCCTCAACCTGCTGGTCTAGAAGTAGCTTTGAGACCAGCAATTAAAAATCCAAGGTCTGTCACAACCACAAAACTCTGCGTGTAAGGCTGTTAAGAAGCACCGGTGATACACTCCATTTTTTTAATCACAAATTATTCAGGACGTTCGGGCTGCATCACGCTGCCGGCATTTGCGTTTCTAACATGGAGTTTACAGCTCAGTCATAAATACCCCGTAACAGCTCTGCTGCGGTAAGATGCCGCCCTTGTTCCAGCTGAACGCGAACGCTTCCATGAGGGTGATGTGGTAAATCTCAACAAGGACCTCTCCATTTTTGAAACAATTTAGAACTGATGATGAAAAACTCTAAACCCTGGCCATTTTTAAAAGGTTTCCTCCATCTCTGTGTAACCTGCCCTAGATACTTAGAGACAGACAACTGTGCCCCTTATACTCTCTTCTTGTGGAAACTAAGCAAAAATATTTTCATTCACAAAATTCTCTTGGAGGATTAGTTTTCCTCTTTGGTTTGCAACCAAGCATGCTTTAAAACATATTGTCTGTAACAGCTGAAATGTAATATCAATCCGTTTTAGCCCTAAGTAGGTAGAATAGGTCTAAACCTAAAACCTGGGGAGGAAAGGCCCCAAACCCAAATTGTTTTGTGACGTATTAACCACTTGCCCACTGAATAGAGTCAAGCTGCGTACAGTTGAAAGCAGTTAGCGTAGGGCGTTTCACGTGCTGTCGCTTCAGCTGATGAGTTGCAGTGGAACGCGCCTGCCGTTCAGCGGCATCTCACCGAGGCGGCTATGCGGCGCGAGACGCCGCCACGCCGACCTGGCAGCAAAGCCCACCGAGCTTTGCGAGGCGATCGGTTCGGGCTGTGCAGAGGGCTGGAGCAAAAAGGCCGAGACTGCTGTTGTCATACTGTCGGATTCTTTGGGATTACAATACAAATCTCTGCGGCTGAAAACTCAGCGGTGGCTTGTCAGGCAGTAGCTACTCTCTGGATCAAAGGGGTTTTTTCCTCTTCTGACGGAAAACACCCAGGCTCTCCTCAGGCCTTCTCTCATCACTCAGGGCCACTTCTACAACTCTGCAACTGTGATGTACTCTAGATCGCATTTCCTGGAATTGTTTACGGCAGCTGCGTAGCAGAACAGCCCAGAACCCCAGACATGAGGTGGAGAGCTGGCAGGACGCCGAGGCGGATGTCGTGTCTATTGCTCCGCCACAGGTGGGTCCCAGGTAGAAGCGCCGTTTAACGGCGTGCAGAGCTGCACGCGAGTGGCTGGTCACAGTGCGGCTATGAGGGGGTTGCAGCTCGACATTCACCCCTGCATGAACCCTCCCGCTGTCCCAGGGATGCCCGGAGCTCTGTGCTCAAGACTGAGATGTTCTGTTCTGGGACTCACAAACTTCACGAACCAGCGCTCTTCACAAGCACGCAGTTTGCGCACGCCTATGTTGCGTTAGAGAGAGGGCGCGCCACGCATATAAACAAAACCAGGTTCGTAGAAGACAGCCTTTGTTAGAGCAGTTACTGTAATGTACGAAGTAGAAACTTCTTATGGCACATAGCTCTTTGTTCGCGCATCCCCAAAAGCTCATC